TGACACAAAAATATTATATTGTTTATGTAATCCACTACTATCATTACGATTTATATGATAGTACCGCAACTGCACAACAATTTTTTAATTTATAATACTAGTGGTAAAAGAAATAACGAATTAAAAAAAGAATCACAAAAAATACTAGACTCTAATGGTTTACCCGAAAAGCTCTTCCTGACTTGATGCTGGCTTTAAAACATCAACTAGAAGATCGAATAGTTCACTGCTCGAAGGACTGAAATGTTGCAGTTTTTGAAATACGAAAGTGAAAAATCCGCATAACCCAAGTGATTTTCCATCCATGCCAGTATCTTGCACTATAGCTTAGCTACGTATCATTCTATTTCGGGTACTTCACCAATATTAAATTAATTTATGCCACATAGCAACATGCTGTCAACCTCGTATTAATACCACCCTAATTTTAACTCAAGACCTAAGTTAAACGTACTTGCTCCTGTAATGTGCAACAAACAATCTTTGCCTCACTCCATTTGAAAATTTCTCATCCAAAGCCAACAAAATGACGCCTGCAATAAACAGTGCCTCTGCCTGCAAATTATTTATGCTTAGATACTATGTTGAAATGGATTTCATAATGGATTTACTGAGCTTTTCTAAGCAAAAAAATGCAGTTCTGCGAAAGACTATAATTTAGAGTAAAAGAAGCTTAAACTGCTAAAGACAGACGTGGAAAAAATAGCATAAAAAAGAGTATCACGACGAACCTCATGCTGACATAATATGAGAAAAGCTGCTGTTCGACGTACTGAAAAAATGGTATGACGAGGTCGATTATTATCTGAATATCTATAAAAAGTAGAAAAGATAGTTACAAATAATAAAGTTAACAATAAACTAATAACTGTACTGACTTCCTGGTTGCGTTTCTCACCAACAAACAAATTTTCCCATATCACAATAGGGCAAATTACACACATTTATGGGTTGTAAATTAATCGGTTGTCAACATCCCTAATGAATCACTGAAAAATGCAGATATTTCGAAAACCTACTCAATTAAATCAGCAAAAAAATGCGCTATAGCGTCGAAAAGAGCACCAAAGCGTTTAATATGTCTTTCAAATGTGAATAAATATTCGTCTTCCAGTTGTGCTCCTTGCTGAAAAGCTTCTTGTACTAAAACATAAACAAAAATGAACTGAAAAGGGTAAGTAGGAGAATAGAAAACCAAAACTCGGATAATTAAAAACAAGGCCTATAAGATAAAAAAGTAAGGAGCCAACCTCATGCGAATCAATATAGCGATCGATAACAGAAAGATCGTCAAAATACGAGAAATCAACAATGAATGCTTTGAAGCGACTCCGGGCAGGATTTTTGAAGTCATCCGGAACACAATCAGCTAAGCGAAATATTTCGGCAAGAATTGCATGACCCGTTTCTATCAAGTCTTTCAGAAAGCTGATTCCAAATACGTCCGCAACATTACTCATCTAAACTAAAGTAGATGAAAATACTGGATCCCCTCCCGCAAATCTAGGAAATCCGGACGACCATTGCATTTGTTCACTAATTTAGCAAAGGTCCAAAAAAGTCTCACTCAGTACTAGTTGGAATTTTCGGTAAATTGATCCTAAAAAGCATTGTGACAAATTCTTTCACACTAGTATGTAGTTATAGGTTAACACACTGAAACCAAAAATTAAAATCCGAATTACAACACGAACATACTTTGAAGTATTTATTGCAATCATTCGCGACAATCATTGAATCAAGATTAGTTTTTTTAAAGATAAATCAAAGATAGTTTTTAAATAAATCAAGCAATCACTTGAACTGATAAGTAAATCAGTAGGGAAAAGTGAGCTTTAGAAATCAATACAACGTCCTTTTCGCTCCCAATCGCCGAAACGGGTCGGTTCCGGTCCCGCTGGCCCACCAATTTCCCCGGTTATCGGATTGACCCCTAAAGTGAATACTTTTTCTACTGATTCATATGAAAATTCGAAATAATTTACAGAAGATGAACAACTATGAACAGTTCAGTCGCCAAAATATTTAAAAATTCAAAAAAAATCAGCAAATAGTTTTATCATTTGTTATGCATCAAATTTTTCAAAGAAAGAAAACCAATCTTAATTTTAACCATTTCTCCCATACTCAGAAAATTAGAATGGATACCTCCGGGATGTTTTGGGAGACATGGATCATCATAAGGTTTTTCCTCTTTTTCCATTTTCAGCTTATCATTCAGCTTCCCTCGTGGTGTCTTTTTCTGAATTTCAATCTCCTTACCATTCATAACACCTTCATCAACTCTGCAAAAACGTTGCTGCTTGCAAAATGTTTGGATAATGCTCCGACCAAGAAGTACTCGGAACATCTGAAAAAGTGTTTTGCGGCACGTTTTAATGAAACCGATAACACTTAAAATGGAAATGAATACTCTCACACATGCAAATTTAAGTAGACATGCGCACAGCCTTATCCGGACATGGCTACACGTGGCGAGACAAAAAGGTGTTTCTGTGAATATAAACTAGATGTGATGTTGCAAGATATTGCAAATAATCTTCTAACAGATAATTTAGACAATAAAAGCACTCCTGTTAATACGACAGAAAAGAAACATTACTTCCTAGATTTATGCATAATTTCTACAGGTAAGAATAAGCAAAAGATATATTTGAGTAATGTGAATTACTTTAATAATTTGAAGGATGTACAAAAAATAAACAAGGAATATAACGCATACATACAGTAGTAAAAAAAATGTGAAAATACATTTGTCCTCTCAATATCATTCGTAAAAAAAAAAAAAACTTTTAACAGATATCCTCCTTACGTCATGAGTTGAAATGAAAATGACTGACCATTGTCAAGAGCAGATTAAATAACAAATATTACTGAAAGAAGCGAATGAATTACGGAAATAAATCTTGGCAGTATTGTTGCCTTCATGTAACAAATAAACCGCTGAACTTCTTCAGTTCAACTACAGCACTGAACGATACCAAAAATTTCTTCATTTTTCGAAACGTAATCGGTGATAGCCTGCAACAATTCAGTCCAAAATGACGCATCCTCAATACGAAGATCACTTGAGAAGAAAACCTAAAATAAAAAATAAACAGATTGCTCCCATCACAATCAGTAAGTTGCAAAATCTACCATTTCTGACTATACTACTACTCCTTTAAAATTAAAAATTAAATTTAGTTTGAAAAAAACTTCATTATTACTGGGGAATGTCAATGCTCCATGATTATATGATTGCCAAGATATCCAGTACAGTGCTCCTATGCCTAACTTCTGCATGTCAGACATGGTTTACCCATTCCTCCCATAGATTCACAACATCAATCTCTTACTTAATTCCTCTAATTCATTCTTTAAGCTACTACTGTTTTTTTGAAATTGGTGTTAAATGAAACCACGTTACGAATCAGAGTCACTATACTCCATTTGAGGTGTTCCTGTATATCCAAAACGACAAATCCAGTATCCCTCATTACCAGATAAAGTGATAAATCTATTACTGGTATATCAATGACGAGACGTACCTGTTTGTTGGGAAATAGCTTATTAAGTTTTACAGCAACGCCATCTACCAAATAATTTGGTTTTGATGATTCGATCAGATTCATTCCTCGGAAATTTTGTGCAAAACATAAGGTATCTAAGCGATTTCTGTTGCCTACCCAAATGAAGATACATCCATCCATCACAATACTCATGAAACCAACCAAATGCTTCGCAACGGTAAATTCAGCCTGATGAGAGCACATACTAACAGACCTTAAACATTTTACCTATGTTAAAAAAAAAAATTGGAACTACATTTTCCTCAAGAAATGAGCACTGATAAACCATTTCATTAAATACATAATCCACCCATTAGGATAAACAATTTTTGTCAGGCGATATGCAATAGTATCATCGTCATCAACAATAACGCTCCGGAACACACATGAATTTTTCAAATAGTAATTATTCGAATGATTATTCTTTTCATAAGTTTTAGCAAGTAAATGCACTGCTTGGAACAGTAAGATAGCAATAACTGAAATGAAATTTAATTAAGATATTGTTTAAGGGAATGCTTCATTCTTACAATGCTTAACAGATTTTTTTGGCAACACACCGCATATTCTCCAAGCAAATATCAAGTCACCAATGACAGGAAGAAACAATTATTTACTAAAGAGAATCAAAATAAATTCATCCTAGGAATTGAAATTTCTCACAGTAACAATGAAAAAAAAGGCAACACGAAATAAACCAATTTAGATTTTTTTTAGAAAAAGAAAGAACCAAGAGAATCAAAGGAACAAGCAACAAATGAAGGAAATTTCATATGTCAGCAGTACATATATCAAAAGAAATTTTAGTTTCAAGCGTGAAAACTACAAATAAATTATAAACAGTGCTTTAACAATTAACACAAAAGCGGAAACGATAAATCGACAAATCATAAGCAATGATACCAAAATGGCCAAATAAAGAAGTATTTTACAAAAAACTTCCAAAAAGTCTACAAGAAAGTATTTCTCAGACAAAGTCGAAATAATGAAGAAGGCTTGTAATTTAAAAATCATTAAATTGTATTTCAAGCAACTTATAACAGGAAAGAAAAGCCAGCAGAGATACCAAAAAACTGTAAAGTATTTGTAAGAAAAAAGAATAAAAGGTTATCCAAGCATTTAACGCGCTGGACAAAAGTTACATGAATTTTTAATGTGCTCACGTTTGCCTTATATTCAGCTAGCTATTTAAGCTAAAATTTTAAAAATAGCTGCTTTATAACATAAATAAGAAATAGATTTCATTATTTTTTTCTTCATATTTGCATGTTATCCAGTTAATAATCTTTTCCAACTCCACATACGCTATCGTAATTCATCGTTGTACCTCCAGCCTTCGCCTTCTTTAACAAACAAGGCAGGATGATAAACGATTTGTTGATCCTAAAATATCTTTGCAGCAATAATTCAAAAAAGGTAATCTCGAATTACAATTAAAATGGAAAATCCTATATATAGTGTGCTCTGGAATACCTGTCGTTTTTTAGCTTCCTCGCGCTGCCTTTGCTCAATCCATTTCTTTGCATTAGTAGCAAGTTGTATATTATTTTTTTGCAAAGCAACTGTAACATGTCTCCATAAACGACGTGATTCCCTATCACCTTGCTTTGCTACAGGTTCGCATTCCTAAAATTTAAAACGTTTAAAAGTATTGCTGGATACTTTGACATTTACCGACTTACCCAACTTTTCAGAACAAAGATTTTTTTTTCGGAAAACGGACTTTTTTAAAAGAATTTCAAAACGAAGTTTTGTCTTCAAAAAATGATTTTTTGCAAAAATTGACTCAAAAAACCAAACCTTTTTTGCCTCAGGATAATGCTTAACATCAACAAATAAATATTCGCTACCATTCAAAGGTTTCGCGGTTATCACACCATTCCATTCTCCTTTTATTATAAGAATGGGTTTTTTAAAGCCCGAACGATAAACACTTCCGTTTATACGATGTGCTTTTCCACCGAAAAAAGGTTTCGTGAGAAAATCAATCTCTGCCGAATACCCAGTTTTGATGCAGTTAACCGTAACCTGAAATGATGCCACGATTAGTAACCATAACCTGAAATGATGCCACGATTACTACGATAAATACTTCAAATAATGAAATGAAATATGACTATTTCAAATTAACAAAAATATGGTCATTCATACCGAAAGACTTACTTTCCCACCGAGTTCAATCCATGGAGTGCTCATAATTGAACGCCCATAACCATTCGGGAATGTTAAAACATACTCTTCACCGTGGTCGTGCAGCTTCACTGTTCCCCAACCAATGTTAGTGACTCCTTAAAGTCACTGTTAATTGTGACTAGAAAAAGAAACACATCACTGGTAATGAGATCAAATTATTCTATACGCAATTTGAAATTTCATAAAACGTTAGGGATAAAAAATCCTACTATTACCAATCTTTTATTCACTGGAAATAACTTTTCGCATACAATCAAAATTCCGAACAATCGAACCCTAAATATCCATAAAAATAATTTCTAAACGTTTTAAATAATTCCCGAATACTTACCAATAGAAAGACCCAAGAACGAGGACTTCGTCCAGATATGTCCCGTAAACGAAACCCGTTTACCAGGATGTTCGGCGTAAAAAGCTGAGACAGGTGGGTGGTGGCTGACCTGCTCTGCGATAAACGTTAAGTCATTTTCATCTGAACCAGGAAAAGGACCACGTTTGGTTAGCTGCTTAGATTTTTTCATGCCAGGTATTTTCCATCGACCTACAAAAAACAAAGCTAATTTCCCTCTATTGTGCAGAATGGTATTTGCGCACAAATTTCAATTTAGTAAAACGAGAATTTTTAAAAGAAGAAAATATAACTTGGTTTTCTGCATTTAGGACAGTTGCAGGACTTCACACTTGGAACAACAAAGCAAAATTACTAACAACGAAAAGTTTCGCCAAGAATAGGATTATAGGGCTTTTTGGCCACTCCACTTTTACGAGCGGCATAAAAAGCACCCATATAGTAACGGACTACAGAGATGAAGCGTTCTTCCGGTGACGAAATATCAGAACAACCGATGAAACTGTCTGGGTGTGCGAAAAAATCTGCGTACATTTCCAGCAGAGAACGACGTTCGAGAATAAATGTTGGCAGTGTCACTTTGGTTAAGTCCATTCCAACACTTACCTGAAATATATTCACTGGTTTCAAAGAGTTACTCTAATAATACGGCAAACGGCTGACTTTAAAAACATGATGATACATGCGATAATTCTGCTGCAGCCCAGGAAATGTGTTGATAAATCGTGGTGATCATTTGATGTGAAAAATGCTTATTGAACCTAATCCTAGACTATATAAATGTTAAATACAAGTAAAATGACAAAGTACCTACTAATTATAATAACTACTAGTTATGAGGAAATAAGTGGAATTCCCACTGTCATTTGGAATATCCAACTACAAATTGTAAACAAAATCAGGATGAAATTACACAGTTTCTGGCACACATATTCAGAAGTGATTGAGAATTTCAAGATAAATAGAGAACTTCTCTATTATAATCTAACTTTTATCTTCATAATCACAGCTGAAAAGTGTGAAGGAAGATGTGAAAGTGAAAGAAGACCTGTGAAAGAAGATGCATAAGCACAGAGCCATGCTGCTGCTGCACATTACCAACATCAAGTTCCTCTGCATTTTCGTAAGCCGCATCAAAATCTTCATTCTCATCTCCAAAATTCGGTTCATGGATGGACTTCTTCCTTGACTGCGAATTTTTCTTGCCGGGATTATTGTTATGTCCAGGACTATTGACGCCATTTGAATTATCATCACTCGGCGATAATTTGTCATCATCGCTTGGAGTTTCGGCATCGAAAAACTCATCCTCACTACTTGAATAAGACAATGGAGGAACTACAACTTTCGCCTGAAAACTGGTAGAGAAAAAGAAAACTACATTTTTTCTGTTCATAAAGAAATAATTTTCCAAAACACTTTTTTTTGGGTCTAAAAGGGTTCAGTACAGCTTAAGAAGAACAAAAGTGCACTCCAGAGTACAAGCTGCATAGAGATTACTTATCCTAGCAGAATTAATAAAAAAACGTAATCAAATGTCCAATAAGTTGTGATTGCCTGTACTTCTCTCCCAAATATTTTCAGAGCCGTTAAAGTAATCTGGTACCTTACTATGTTTTACCTATTTCACTATCACTGTACTTCATGCGCAAACAAAAATCTATTGGAATTCAACTAATACATCCGACAGTGCACTGTATGAGGAAAATAATAAAGCGAACATTAATACGATGGCATCTGGTAAGGGTAACGTGTGCGGAAGAATAAATTGGTAATCTTAAAAGTACAATATTAACCTGAGAACTCATGGACTCATCATCATCCACATTTAAACCCAACAGTGAGGCACCTTCTAGATGACTCCTAGCCATTTGTAACAGTATAACTGCATGTTTCATTGTATCTAACAAGCGATTCGCTGATTTAACCAGATCATCGATTGTTTTCTTCACTTCAGTGTTTGCTGATGTAGACAATCCTTCCAGTTCTCGAACCTGTAGTATTTAATTTGAACGAAGTTTTTATTTATACTTGGATGGAATTATTTCTAGCAAAATTACTAATCAAATACAGTTTAAAGGAGAAACAATAAATCAATAGAACAAAACATTATCAACCATATAACTTTAACTATGCACTATGCTACCACTCTTAAAAACTAGTACTCACCACGAGTGCTTGTTATTTGAATCAATTTCCAAAATTTCCAAAGAACATGGCGATACCTCATTGATCATATCCTGCAAATGTCTGTCCGCTTCAACAGCTTTTGCCTTCAAAACTGCTGCTGAATTCGATGAAGTTATACGATAATAACCACTCTGTTCATGGATTACAGTCTCCAAAGCACGAATCCAGCTGTTGCGTTCAATTTCATCCCGACCCTAAAAAAAGCAACTTCTTCATCTTTAGTAACCTAGAGAACAACTCATATTTCCAAAAACTGTGATTCTACACTGTAATATTGCAAAAAAAGAGTTTTTACAAAAGTTTAATTAATAGTGATATAACGATGCTATTTTACATAGTAGAACTCATTCCATCTCCTAAGAAGCTTTCAGCCAAATAATATAGTTTTGAAACAATATTTCACAATTCCGGATCGCAGATTTACATCTCTGTTCAACTCAACAAACATCTTGTATATAAAATACCTGCAAATGAAATGTTTTGCCGTCAACAGTGACTGTAAACAAGGAATTACTTTCACCGTCGATACCTATAACAGCACCCCGAAGACGTATGCAACCACGTTGTTGCCCTTTCATCATTTTCTCCCTAGAGGTGTAATAATGAAGCGCATCATCCCCCAAAACGAACCATCTGTACTGCCATCCATGAACGACGTTGGTCCACTTTGACAGTGGACCTTCCATCCCGAATTTTCTCTGCAATGACAACTTTTTCGTATTAATTCAACTGAAATATTTACCAAATAAACACGACATAAAGACATTTGAAAAAAATACAAGGAACAGCAACTGAAATCGTTCGAAAAATCGAAAACTAATAATAAATAGAAATGAAACGCATACAAATCTGCTTACAAACTATGGAAATATGCAAATCTTATCTTGTTCCTTCCTGATGAAAAGAGTTTATCTCTCGCTTATAAATTTGGCTTAGTGATTCGAACAATAGAAAAGTCTATATATTCTCAAATTCTGCAAACCACAGGTCTACAAAAAGGCCTGCAAATCTTTCGGTTTCTTCCCAAACATGAGAAGGAATCAAGAATCTATAGTCTGAATTTGTACAGAAGTTAGATGAAAAAATTTGGATTTCCAATATCCGAAAATTACAAAAAGAAATATTCTCGCCCTCCTTGAAAGCTCGGACCACAGTTTATTGTTATTAATGAAATAACTGACTGTGGTAGCATTAATTATACTTTAAATTTAAATCAAGTCATTCCAATCCATGCATCTCACGAAGGAGATAGAATTCCTACAAACGAAATCTGTAGCAGCTGTAATGAAGTCCAATTAAAAATTCATAAGTAACGATATGTTTAAACCAGTGGTTTTTGTCTGGCAAATAGATCTTCTTACAGAGTGAATTTGAACAAAGTCTTCACCTAAATTGTAAGTGTCAGGTAGAAGGAAAACAATGAAAAACTAAATTGGAGGACATCTGGATGTAATTTTGCGCAATATATTTTATTTCATTTTTACAAGGGTTCCAGTTACATTTCCTAATTGTAGCGAAAAAAATGTGCTCAAATGATGAAAGCAAATTTCATATTTTGAACTGAAATAGCAGTGCAATTAATGGGAAGGCAAATATGATAATCAAAACAATGTTAATTACTTGACAGTAAGGACAAAGATGTATGAGTTCATTTACAATTTTTTTTTTCCAGTAACTGGTAATTGCTTGTAATGTAATACACATTCAGATGATGAAAATAAAATTCAAAACACTCTGCATATGTAACGACAATTAAGCAGAATCAAACAAACTACAACAGAACAATTACTGAAACTACAATCCACAAGGAATTCATTCTTCCGACTCTTATCAAAACTTTAAATTTGCCCTAACAAAACAGTTAATAAAGTAAAGATAATATAAAACATTTATAATAAAATTTATTTAAAATCTATTTTATTATTTCTACACTACCGAGTTTATTGTATGAACGAATAAAAAACACAAATGTTAGTATCATAATATATTTAATCATAAGTGCTCTAACAAAAAGGAGGACGACGTGAACAAATGTTGCTGTATGGACAGCCATTCACGTAAATTAACGTTTAGACGCAAATTTTGCAACAGTTAGCTCGCCTACTAGCACATGACTATGCTACTCACCCGCACTGCTTAAGTAAAAAGAGGGTTGAAAATGCCAAGCCCCTTCCCGAGAATCTATATCCCACAATTTCACGGACCATATTGAAGTTCATGTTGAAATTTTGTTTCCACTAGTTAGTCTTCCATCCACTGGTTAGTGGGAAGTCATCTGTGGTCGTCAGTGGTCATCTGTGGCCATCAGTAATCATTAATGGTCTGTCGAACTTATCGCGAACTTCCTCTCCTCTCACTTATGTGAGATTTTCTCAAGTTAAGACAATTGTATCTTGTAATCTTGCTTCAATCTTGTTTATAATCTTGCTTCTTGTAATCTTGCTTAATCTTTGATCGGAAATTTAATCAACCCCCGATATAGTAAATGTTGATCTCGATCCTTCTGTCTGTCATTTTGTTACTTACGTAATAGCAGTTTTACGTTTTTGAATATGAAACACTTCGTGTAATATTTTATTAATAAATTTTCCTTAAATTTTGTTTAGGAATTATAGCGTTAACAAGCGATCGAGAATGGGTAACTCCTTTTTATAATTTTTTACTTTTACTTCATTGGATTCTCTGTTATTCAAACGAAATTTACAAAAACAATTGCTGCATTTCCCTTTAGAATTTTTTCACTTATTTAATATATTTTATTTCTTTGTCCCTTCTTGCAGTTGTCTATATATGATAACATATAATACGTTGGAAGCAGAATACTCTTCTGTTGCATTCTTTAAATTTTATATAACTTCATATTGTTGTAACATTACATAATGATGACTAACAATGACATCACAACTTTAGCTTTCCAATAAATTTTGCCTTAAAATTATCTCGTTTCAGTTGTTCCCTTTTTTTTTCCAATGAATGATTGATTTTTCAGGAAAAAACACTCTGTTATAAGGTGGATTCATTCGATAATGCGCAGCTCTGCATCTCATATGGCGACTTGGAATACTTTTTAGTTCTTTATTTATTTTTCTAATTTCTTGAAACAGTAAACAAACATTTGTTTTTCCTTTTTCTTTCCATGAAAACTTAACATTATTTATTTGTCTGGCCAGGAAAATGTTCATGAGTGCTTTATGTCATGAGTGCTTTATGTTTATGTCATAATGTGCTTTCTTTCCTTCTCTCCCTCGCTCTCTCTCCGAATATAATATCTATGTTTTTTATGAATTTGATTTTTTTGCTATATTTTGATGAATTTGATCTTAGAAAAGGAGGTAGATTAGAAAAAACGAAAACTTTTGCTAACTGTAAATACCTTTATTCCATGCCTTGATTTGAGGACTAACAAAATGACGAAAAACATTGCGTATTGCTATACTCGAAGTTCATTTTTAAACAACATCTTAAGCCTTTTTTACAGTCTGCCTTTTACTTTTAAACTAGTTTCTCTGGTTATCTTCATATGTACATATGTTTTCCTTTTGTTATCCTATCCCTGTGCCAAGCAAAATATTTGATAGGTAACATAAGTGCCAACAAGTTTTGCTTTTGACTGTCGACACGCTTCAACTGAAATTGTCTGAGTTTTTGGATCTTCCTTAACCAGATGTTTTACTTAATTCGAAAAATGCCAAAATATTTTAGTATTTTAAGTTTCAGGTAATAATGAATATATGTTGTGGTTGAGATGATTCAAAAAATCCAACACAACATATGGCGACAACCACGTCGTCATATGCGAGGTTTACGAGACTTCACTGATGCACAGCTTCGGTCAAACGAACAATCTTGTACAGTTGCGAATGGAGCTATTGCTCGAATAGATATCGCACATTTACCTGCTAATCATCCTACGGAGGATTATTATGCAGCTGCAAAATGTCTTTCATCCGAAGCCTTCCTCTTTGGTAGCATCGTTGGTTTTTTTCCTCTTTTTTTCTTTTCCGATCATTTTGAGACAGAAAAAATTAGAATAAACAATAGGAGAAATTAGATTAGAAGAGAAAAGATGTTTGTTACTGATTTCAAATCAAATAAGACATTGAACTAAGTGAAAGGTTTTTTTCGATACAGATGATTTTTTAGCTTTCATCTAACCACCGGAAATTATCATTTTGAATTGTAGTTCGTAAATAAGGCGGGAAACTCTGGAGTTATTTAACCGCTAAATGTAGGATTTGTTTCATTATGGTATCTTTCCAGGTGTATTTGATGGACATGGTGGTGTTGCGTGCAGCCGTTATATTTCGACACGGTTATTTGATTACATATCCGCTTCCGTGTTGAAAAAACATATTGTCACCGATATACCCATTAGAGATAGATTACACTGGTTTTGCACGAATGGTGATTTATGTGATGAAATATATCGGTATGAAACTGTGTTTGGCTATTTCTTCCCAAAAATTTACACAGTGTTTTTTTTCCTTCTCCTTTCCCTCTCCCTCCCAAACCACTACTTTTGAAATTGTCTGTTTTTGCGCTAAAGATTATTGGGAACGGATTTAAAAGGCACTAAAGTTTTGAAACCATTTTTAGTCTTCACTTTGAAATAAGATTTTTAGAGTCTGGACGAAATACTTTGGTTAAAAAATACTCCCATGTTTTAGAGATAACCATTTAAAAAACATCGAAAATTTTCATAAGAAAGTAATGGGCGACTCGACCATGACAACAGTAAGGAAGGCTCTAGAAGACTCTTTTTGTGCATGTGACAATGATTTGTCTGCTAATGCAGTGAACGAAGGACACAGTGGGTACTCCAAGTGAGTCAAGTTTTAAATCTTTCAATTTGATAGGTGGGTTCGTCGAAAAGTTTAACCGGACTTCGTTTGTGTGCATAGGTGCATAGATCATGTGATGACCAGTGGAAGGGCAGCAAAAGATGATGACGATAGTGTTACTGGAAATGAAGCGTGAATTATTTGAAAACGTTTTGCAATTCATGAAATAAATTCCAAGATTAGGTGAGAAATATTCAATTTGATTTTAAAAATCCTTTGTATAGAATTATTGAAGGCAATATGCTGGAATAGTGACGGCAGGCTCCTGTGCAATTATAGCTCACATTCGTGGTATAAATTTGCATGTGGCAAATGTGGGTGATAGTGCCGCGGTGCTAGGGTTGCATAGCCGAGGCGTTATCTCAGCCATGCCTCTTTCGAAGCCACATTGTACTGATAATGCTGATGAGGTAGGTCTTTTTCTGTTTTTTAATTTTCCCAGTTTAAAGCTCGGTGAGATTAAGAGAGCCTTTTAATGGAATTTTTTTTTAAAAAAGATGGTGATTTGTGCGGTAGTAAAGTTGTTATCACAATGATTCTAAGAGATTGGAAGTGGAATTTCGACGTATAAATAGTTCTAGTCGGATAATTTAATCACAGCCTTTTAGCTAAATGCATTTTTTACTGTTGGTTATAACTCATTTTCAATAAAAATAATTCACTCCGTTTATTCACTCACAGGATACCTCATTTTAAGGTGCAACGAATTCGAGATGCTCATCCACATAACGAAACGAACAGTGTGATAATCGGTGGTCGGCTTTTTGGTGAATTATTTCCTCTCAGGGCATTTGGTGATGTTAGATACAAATGGTCAGCTGAACTACAAGAAGAAATACTGGGCACCAAGAGTTATTCCATGCCATATGGACTGGACTCACCGCCGTACCTTAGCTGTTTACCAGAAGTAAGCGCGTTCCGTGTAAAGTGTGCATAACAATTGTGTGTTGTCGCGTTGACAGTGACGCTTAATTAAGCAGTAATTGTTAACGGATCTTCCAGAAAATGTCATCGTTACATCTTTTTTCCCAATGCATTGTTTAAAGCAAAACTTGGAGTTTCAACTTCGACAAGAAAGTGTACTTTTTTCCACTTCCAATTTTCCTAAATATTTCTAATTAGTTTCGGCAAAATTTATTTTATAGGTGTTGTATCATAAATTGGCTCCTAATGATCTTTTTATGGTGCTTGCCACGGATGGTCTTTGGGATTGCCTTGATCCGGACACAGTAGTGCGGCTGGTATTCGATCATACATTTGGTATGCAAAGTCTCACTTCGTATGCACCTTTTGCAGGGACTACGTTGGCACAGGTGCTCAAATTCTACTTTCTTTACGTACTACTTTTTTTTTGTTACTTGAATATAACTCACTCGTATCTTTCCGGATTGTTGGTCATTTTTAGAAAAAAAAAGAAAAGAAAATCCAGATTGAATAAGACCGAAAGTGATGGACTTTGTGGTACGTAGTATGTTAGATTATATGGTGACGATTTAGATAGTTCAAATAGTATCATTTCTTAAGCAATTTCATTCTAGGTTCACGAAGACTTAGAGCAGCGATTGCATAGAGCAAGTAAGAAACCACTGGATGAGAACAGCGCTACACATTTACTTCGACATGCTTTGGGTGGTCCTGGAGAAGTTTCGGCTCAGTATCTACGACTATTCGAAATGTTGCAGTTACCACCTGAAGTAACACGTAGGTACAGAGATGATATCACTATTATTGTCATACATTTCAACAAAAAATATCTTTATCGTCCGGAATCGTTTGAAGATTCAACGACGCAGCGTAGAACTTCGTAGTTTGGATGGAAATGTATACTTAAGATGGACTTCAGTATTTTGATTATTGTTTCTTTTCGAAATCCTGTTCATCATCTGAACTATCATTGCTACTACTTACAAAACATTAGACTCTTTGAAATATTTGAGATTCCTAATCACGAAAGACTGCGCACTTTAGTTGCTCCATTAATGCGAATCAAATAGTTTTATTTCTGTCGTCTCATGATAAACTAATGACTAGTATTCATCAAGTGGTGAATATCATGTTAAAAAAGTGATACTTTTTCATCAGTTCAGCAAATGAACTTCACACATACCTCTCCCAGGTCTAAAATTTATGGAGTTTTTAATCCATAAACTGCTGTATTCATTGGCTTTAATTTACAGAATGTCGCCTTTGAAATCTCACCTTTCGTTTTTTTTTCCTTGTTTTTATGTCTTCGTTTCTGTATCGATGCAACAAGCCAGTGCTAGATAATCAGTTTAGGATCGAAACGTAATGTTGTTGTTTTTAGAGTGCTCTTCAGTATTTCTCTATCTGTATCTTTCCTGTAGTGAGGTTGATGCAATTGAAAGCAATTGGTCTTTTTTTCTGAACCACCATAATCGTTGGAACTGTCCACATTATAATTGTATTTAATATTTCCTTCGTCTCCTACGTCCATATAATGTTTACTGTGTCAACAAAATCCTTGCAGGATAATTTTAAAAGATTACAGAGGGAAGTCAGATATTTGTAATGCTCATTACTTTAATCGTCTGGGTATCATTTTTGTGTGCTGTAGTGAGATTTTTCACTTTCTCAAGTTACGACCTTAAATCATGCATCTTATAGCTTCCACATTTTCCGTGCCTTTGACTTTTCCTTAATTTCATACCATTTTACATTTTGAGCCAGATTTTTTTATTTTGCAAATATTATTCATTTTTGTAAATTTTTATTCGTTGGTACAAAATTACACACTCATTTGTTTGTTCTGTCATAAGCACAAACAGTACATTGAAAACAGCGATCATATTGTTAAAAAACACTAGCAAATTGAAAGATGGAATGAGTAGAACAAAATTATCCTTTTCGAATGATCCTGTCCGATCAAATTTCAAAATTGAGAGTCTTAAGAAAAGTATAAAAGTATGTACAAGTACTGAATGTGATACCTAGAGCTGTGAATAATTCGTCCTAATTATTTTGTTGATTTGAGTTCAGATCTTGCCTTGCAACCTCCTTTTTTATATTGTCGTTCTGCAAAAAGAAAACAAAATTAAAAGAGTAACTGTGCTACCCCGTCGCACATCCGATGGTGAAATTGGAAGTTTTTGATTTGTAATATCAGAAATCAAAGAAGTTTGTAAAAAAATCGGCAAAAAACTATTTTATGATGGATACGGTGGTACCTGCCGCGTAAGCTCCTGCTGAATGCTAGCATCTGCTAATGAAGCGAGGTAGACAAGGTTTCGATGAAGGAGTTGCTGGTATTGGAGAGCATCATTTGCTCTGAAACGAATAACTTTACTATTAATGCATGAGTGATACGCTGAACATAATGGGATAAATGAACAGAGGTCGGGAATAACTATTATCTATGTCGAATTACGAAACTCCCCACTTAACACTTTTCTAATTTGCTGGTAAATTAAGATGTGCAAAATATCTGATCTGCAATCAAAACTACCATACTACGTGACCAGCAGTTCCATTGGGCATCCACTGTTGATCTTAACCTTCAACATTCATTTACCAGAGCCGACTAACTTAAGAGGAGGCATGCAAAAGAATTGAACCGTTTAGAATCTTGAACGAACCTCCCCATGTTCTGGTATCGCACGATAACTCTAATCAATTGACCATTCTCATCTAGCATTTTTTGGATCGTGGCCTTGTCCGGTCTCGCCCCACTCTGTGCGCTCCCCGCAAACGTTAGTGACATTTTCCCTATAGTCATTCTTTCGACATGAAAAGTCGTTGAAATGTATTTATGCGAGTGAGCAACGCTTAACTTTGAGTAATGAAACGTGTCGAAGCCATCATATTCTACAGGTTTGATCTTTTACATACATCAAAAAATCTTTCCTTAACTAATTCTTAAAAATTATCCTTAAAGGACGGCACACCTTGAGTATCTCCCAAACACTTGACTTATTATTCAAGAAATTAATATCATTAATCATGATCACAATTTGTTTTCATTATTACAGCGTTACATGAATGTAATGACGGAGGTAGCAAAATGTAAACAATCCAGGTTAGGGACTTCAGTATATAAAACTCAAGCGATCTTGTTAATGAGTTAAGACCACCTAAACTTATTTTATAAACCTAGTTCCATCTGCATGAACCAATTCACTGTTATCTACCCTTTAATTCACAGTTCAATTCATTTCTTTTTCTCCTACCCTCAATGACAAATATAAATTGACAAATATATTTGTTAGTTTGTATAAACTGGAACAATAAATTCCTTCTGGTTTAATAACCATAATAAATATGTGATTGAAAAGTTGGATATGACGAAATCTTTATTTATACAGAATATTTCGGAAGCAAGTGCATAGATCAAATTTCTTAAAATATATTCTAAACCTAAAACCTGTGTTCTTCCATACTAAGTGGAAGCAAGGATCGTTCTTTTATAATAATTTGGCGAGAAACTAGTTACACATTAAAATATAATAGTACGTAATATAAACCATATGCGCTACTTGATGCTGTTATGACAGAAAAGGTGTTTGCTTAACTATCAATAACGCAGCACCTATAACTTCATCAATTATGAAAAAATAAATTGGCAGATATAAGCACTTGAAATAAAATATAATAACAAATACACAATAATTTGACATAACTCAATCCGATACGATCTAAAAGTGATGTTGTGCACATATTACTTATTGGTAACTCTTGTTCGTTTGTTCCATGAAAAATTGTCTGCATAACTTTTCGGCTTAATTATTCGTTCATTTGGTTCGACCACTTCATAATTCAAATTGTTCGTTTCACAGTACCGAATAGCATCTTCTTTTGATGCAAAATCCATAGTCATAGAGATATTACTTAATGGATCACCTCTACAAACAAGAAGAGTAGTTTTACATTACTCATGATTCAATTAACATTCCTAGTACTTCTTCAATAGGTCACTAACTTGTTGTTAATAGTGTATGAAAGAAATTTTTTAACAATCTAGGACAAATGAAATGAAGCTTGATATTTCAAGCTGCGTCATCCCTCGCTACCGGATAGTCAACATCGATGGCACCTTCCGTATAAGTATTAGCAAATGGTTTTCGATTTAAAGGCAAAATTAATTTTATGTAATTCATTGGCCTTCCATATTTCATCAAATTTTTATTTTTATAAAAGTTGAATTCACTATAGCAAAATTTGGAATCCTTTCAATAAATTACCACGCTAAAGCGCCCACAATTTAAGGCCTAACTTAGCTATATGCAAAGATATAAAATCATGAAATCTGAACCGAAATTCTATTTTGCAGGGCGGGAAAAAGGCTGAGTGTCGATTAAATTAAAGAGCAATTAGAACTTTAAGAAAAAATCTCATCTCCCACTTGGGGAGCCGAAAACACCTTCACTAAGACTAAATGCTACAATTTAATAATAACCCAACAACATAACTTACGTGCTAGACCAACCAATCAGTGGATTCTCCCATCTTTCCCTATTATCCAGTTCAATTTTCCATGTTTTGGTACACGCCCAACCTGATTGCGTAGCCTCACGTGCCGGTCGATATACACGTACTCGACGACTGCGTAAAAAATCCGCGGGTACACCAGCAAGATCTACTGCTTGCTATAATATTATTGTCGCTCAAAGTCAAATTCTTAAATTCATACGTTAGCTCCCTGATGCTTGCTACTCCTAGAAATCAACGTGATCAGAATTGTGTTGTTGGAATATATTACGCTACCTTTTAGCATTACTCACATCACATCGACTAGACTTAAATTTCGACTAGAAATAAACAAACCTCTTGCATTTCGTTCGAAATTTCAATCTTCATCGGCATTTGTGGTGGTTCTAATACATCATCAATCGATTTTTGGGTTACTGTCGAAATCGGATAATGATTACGTGAATCACCAGTACTACTTGAAAAGCAACGAATCCCACGTGCACGGAATAGGTTAATGGTCCGCGTGAATAGCATCTCGGTATCAAATCTACAACATATATTACGAAACAACGACGAATCAATCGTATTAACTCCGCTTACTCACTTGCAATATATGCCTTATCATGCTTCTTACAGCAAATTTGATAAAATGAATGACACGAAGCCTGATTTACTTACAAGGCTAAAGTAGATGGTCACTGTGGTTGACAAAGGTTGACATTAGGGTTGACACTACCAACAGACTTAGTCAAAACACCTCACCTTTGACCTCTAAGTCCTCTCCTCCCTAGCATCACTAACCCTAACGGCCAATCACCATCCTTCCTTCTTCTCCCGTATCTTCGACAAGTAATCAAAACTGATGCTAATATCACTGTACAGATTTAACGAACGATATGCGGCTCGTTAGATCTGAGCTTAGAAAAACCATTGTTAAACACGGCAATTCGACTATGCTTGGTTGGGTACGTGTTGGGTGAGTGTAAATTTTTTATCTTTCCGGAATACAATTTTCAGGATTGAGAACAATCAGTTGAACTTTCAAGATACGGTGAGAAAGAGGAAAATATGGTAAGTTATTCCTTCTTATTACTTAATATTCGTTAGATAGAATAAGTTGTCTTATGTTCCTTTTATTTCTACCATTCCTGGAATGGAATTATTTATTTATTTATTGTACTGCATCTTGACACTGTTCTTATTATACATATGTTCAACAAATACCAATGGATTACTTCAGGGTAAACTCAAGAAAACTCAGAAGTTCGCCACAAGACTTGCAAAAATGATTAAACCAACTGATTCTCGAATGTTTGTCTGTTCAATTTTTTAAAGATTTACTTTTTATCGGAAAAGAAATTGTACAATTTCTTTTTATGTTAGTGTCTGGTGTAACGGGTGGTGTGCCGAAGGATAAAGCCTAATCGTTCATTACACCAAAACATTTCATGAGGGCTAGTCCTCATCGATTAGAAAACCGTATATGAGAATTTTATTTACTTTCACTATTTTATTTACTTATTTATTTTATTTACTTTTACTATTTTATTTACTTTCAGTAAAGAAAGTGATCGCGTTATCAGGAAGAAAAACAAAGACGATAAGCAGGTGTTGAAAATTGTCGAGGCGTACGTTATCTTCTTTTTTTTTTAAATTGTCATTTCCTAATTTTCGGTCCTTTTAAATTTATTATCGTCTACCCCATTATTTTTAGACCTCAAGTATCAACAGCAATGTTCTTGAAGTACAACACCCAACTTGGACCACCATTTCATATTATTATCGATACGAATTTTGTCAATTTTTCCATTAAATATAGGATCGATATTATGCAAGGATTTATGGATTGTTTATACGCAAAAAGTTTGTTTCGTAGTAAAATGATTGTTTAATGGTAAAGTGATATCTTTCCTAATCAAATTCTTGTAAGTAAGAAGATTGAGGGTTGATTAACTCACATTTTCAACAGTTTTGGATTTGCAGCGATACCATATGTAACGGATTGTGTTTTGGGTGAATTGGAAAAGCTTGGACAACGATGCAAAGTTGCTCTTAAAATTATTAAGGATAATCGGTTCAAGCGTTTGTCGTGCTCTCATAAAGGAATTTATGCTGATGACTGCATCGCACAAAGAGTTACGCAGGTATGCCCAATAGTTTTGTTTTATTTTATTTCAGCGATGGGAAATATTCCTCAAACTTCAAGAAGGCGCGGAATGCGCTGATTTATATTGCTGCTTCATAATCCTCTGGTAGACTGCAGCATTTAGCGTAATTGGATGAAACCATAATTTTCCTAAAACTTTTCCATGCAAAATCATGTCTTTCGTACTGTTACGACGCGTACCGAGAACGGGCTATATTAAACTAACTTCAAATTTAAGTAGTTAATACTTCCTGGAAGGAAAAAATTCCACGAAATATTTCTTCACACGAATATTTCCATGAATATTTTTTCAAGTCTGTTCAAATGAGAGTTTTTACAAAAGTGTCTGTTTTCATAATTTCATATCCATTTTCGTCCTTCTTTTAGCATAAATGTTATATCGTTGCCACATGTGACAAGGATTTGAAACGACGGATTCGTAAAATTCCTGGCGTCCCCATTCTGTATATTAGGCAACATCGATACTCAATAGAACGTATGCCTGATGCATACGGTGCTCCTGTGAACTAATTTCCTGTGATTTCACAACATTGAATGAAGAAAGTCAATATTTGTTACTAGAAAATTTAGCGGGAACTACATACTGCATGGCAGGCGCAATCCTCACGTAACCTAAAAACTTCCGGCAGTATAACTTCTTTCAGAGGTCGACTTCACAACATACTGTCTTTTGGAATACTTTTTTGAAATCAAGAGTGTTAAGCATGTTCAAAGGATGATGAGAAAAAACTGCTGCTAATACTGAAGTTGCTCAACTTTAATGTACTTTGCTTCTAATATTATTATAATGCCCACTTATGTTAAGCAAAGATATTCCAGTGCTGTTTTCTCTGCTCTCTTCTCTATTCAAAATCTATTCCTGTTACATTTCTTATGTTCCATGCTAAATAAAAAATGTTATATCAGGACACAGTTACAACTCTTTCTTCATAAATAGGATGACATATAAATTACAAATATTTCAAACGAATAAATAGTGGCAAGAATATTTCAGAAGCAGGAAAAAACCATAAGTAGACAGTACAATATTCTAATAAGTTTGTTATTAAGCAATAGAGGTAGACTTCAGCTTTACTGTTGAAATAGTTGACTGTACACCCTTGCATTGTTATGTTATTGCATTGTTATGCGTATAATCCAAGTCGATAAACTTTCGTAGCAAGGAATGAATGAAGAATAAAAACGACTGGTTTTGGCGATGCAAGCAAGTCGATTTCCTGGAAAATAGTGGATTAGTGCTTGCTGATTTGATTCTTACCTAGGATTTGAATTATTAAATCATAAATCATTTCATATTTTGAAAATATATGACATAAGCACCTGTTCGCCAGAAGGTGGACCAAAATCGATCCACAAGAATCTGTTCCCGTCATCGCCGGTAGCCCGGATAGTTTCAAATGGGTACTGCCATCGGATTTGGCCGTCATGACTAATTAGACTTAGACCTTTGTCGAGTTGCAATACCAATTCGCACTGTTCGTTTTGCCAAACACAGGCTGGAAGTTATCATTTAAGAGGCATTAATATTTAAATACTTTTGAACATTTTATACTTTAATGTATTTAGACTTCTTAAAATGGTAGCACTTGGTGCTTATTATTTTAAGAAATTTAAATGAATCTTATATTCTTTTAGTGCTAGCAAAATGTCAAGTGAAAGGTAGTTAAAAGAATAATAATAAACAACCTAACGCCTTAGATAAGTAAACCTTTGGGAAACAATTTAATGCTGAACGCAAAAAACCGAAACCGAACTGTACAATATACTATAGATCACACTTCATATATCATATAAATCTTACTATGAATAAAATGAAATAAAGAACTAACGGCACGAGACTTGACCAGTTTTGGCGCATGCTTCGTAGGTACATGTAACGATACTTCTTATCCATGAAGCCAAGTCTCGATGAGTTTCCACGCGTAACACATGTGAACGGACACCTTGCTGTGTACCTGTTCTCGTTGTAAATGATATTACATCTGATAAGCCAGTTATGACGGGAGCAGTTCTAAAGTTGGTGTATCTACAGTTTTTTTTATATTTGTTTACTTCACAGTAAACAATTCATAGAGTGTAATGTGTTTCCTTACCAAAAAGTATATCGGTTAAATGGCACACACAAACTACAGTTCACTTACTTATCCAAATGCAATTTTAAGGAATTATTACTACTAAATTGCAAGTTCATAATTTTATTCTGAAATTAATGGAGTGGAAAATATAAAACACGGAAGTGTCATGACCGAATAGGAGAATGCAAATTGTAAGCAGATACTAGCTATTCGAATGAAACATCCGGATCTTTGCGAACTCCACTGTAAATTCAAGTTATCACTTTAATGTGATTAATTTAACCGTGATGTTGTTTACCGTGATGTTGTTTGTACCACACGGGTAGCAATGAGCGGTCTGGTAACTTTTGGAGAAGCCCATTCCGACTTCAACATCGGGACAGAGTCGTAAAACAGTAAATCATTTAAAGTTAATGCTGCAAAAATCGGTCTCCAAACGGTTACCCCATTTTCATTTAGTGTCTGCAAAAAGGAATGATTAAGAGGGTGATACCAAAGCTTTCTAGTGTTGTGTACTTTCCTTCCTTCAAAAAACTAATGCATCACAAACAGTTATCATTTTATGGATTTCATTGAAAGTTGCATATAGCCAGTAGTATCGGAAATACATTTCTAATTATTCTATAATTCTTTTGCATAACTCGTTATTGGTTTTTGCAAATCAGACACGCTATCGCTTACGATAATCACAGAAATAACTGAAACCAACCTGCTCAGTAATCCAACCCATTTTGCGCACTTGCGGATTATTTCCAAGCATCAAATTCACTTGTGCCAATGCTTGCGTTAGCAATGCACATGAACAAATGTGTATAGTTTCGAACCAGGCATCTGCTTCTAATGAATTACTGCATCTATAAAAAAAAAAACGAATATGCAGATTGTTTTGTGAAATTAAGGAAAGAAGAACAAAATTAAACCGAAAAATATCAAAAAATAAGCAAAAAATCGGAATGAAACTTGGGATTTTGAGATTCACAACACTTAAAATTTTAAAATTTTGGTATATACACAGAAATTAATGTAACATTGCTATTAATTGGAACTAATAAACGACCTAAACAAGAGTGTATATCGACCCGAAGGTGATCTCATTTCAAACATTCTATTCTCGATATCTTCAATTTGGAGAGCTGTACGTGTTACAAAAACCAGCTTTAAACCAATGCTACGAATTCGATCGTGCGAATCGTCATCCCACTGAATACGTTCCATCCAGTTTTCACGTTGCGCACACATGTCTCGCATGAAACGAACTAAAATTTGCAAAAAAAGTTGTGACAGCACCAGAGAATACGACTTTTAACCTGAATTCCAAACTCCAAAAAAAAGTCTTAGAGGTAGTAAAAGTTTTCAGGGATAATCTGGAAAAAGCACTAGGATCTTAGTTCCAAAGACCTCAAAAATTTACTGCAGGAAAGCTAAAGACAATAAAAAGAAATAATTTTTAACAAAATTTACAAATGCTTTTTACCTGTAAGGGTAAACTAACCGTGTAAGTCGACGATACGTCCGGCTTTCTTAAGTGCTCTGACAGCTTCATCATGCGTAGCATCCTCTAGCGACTCACCATTTACTGCAACAATAGTATCACCGACAAATAATTGCCCTGTCTCGTCAGCTGCCATACCTTTGAAAATTTTGCTGAAAAAATTTCAATCAAACTTTAGAAAGAATCCAAAGTGGAGAAAGCTTTAAAAAATGAACCTAAAACAATCAACGCAATGAATTATTAAATAACAAACTGCACTCAAGAGTATTGTTAGACTAATAGGATATGCAGTGCAGGACAAACATAAAAAAAATACAATCAAATAAGCACTGCAATGAATATGATCGAAATCAGATATAACCTGATGATAACGGGCATGTCATTATCGCGGCCACCTTTGATGCTAATACCCAATCCATTTCCATCATGCTTTACTATTCGAACCGTACGTATATCTGCACCCTGTCCATAATCAGCGTCTGCTGGTGCACTTAATATTAATGCTGTTTCATCCAACGTAGCACAAACCTTGACCCATTCACCGGCAATGTAAACATCCAGGAAAGATCCTCTCACCGATGCCATCCTTTCATCTCCATCATTCTGCAAAATCACACATCACATTAGTCGATCCCAGTTGTCCCTTCATCTCTCTTCTCTTTTCATTTTATATTAATACTCTCTAAGAAAATAAACAAAGTTTATACTTCGTATTTCCCAACAACTTTAATCCCCAATCAGATAAGGATTTGCAATCAGGAACTCCCATTCTCTCCTACTGGTTCATCAGGACTATCTGTCCCACTATATCGCTTACCTTACGCAGTTACGCCTGTGAAATATCTTTTTTTTTTTCTTAGTCAGTCTGAAAATTGCAAAAAGTCGAAAAAAATTGTTCCACCAATGATTTTAACATTTTAGTTCAAAAAGAAAAGTCAAAAATTGGCAAAAAAAAAAGGAAAATGGATGGATGTTATGGGAAGATTTCATAAATGAACCGTTGAAACAAGCAACCTTGAGAGACATATCGAAGTAGGCCGCAGGCTTATTTCCTCCAATATGGGAACAAAAACACTGGGCCTAAATACCCTTGGCTTATCATCAAATTTGAACCATAACTAATGGAGAGAGAAAGAGTGAGGGAAAAGACCTAATGAATTGAAAGGCCTCGCATTCGTACATCCTCTTAATCTCAGATCCATCTAATTCAATCATATAAAAGAAATCTCCGTTAGGACTGAATATTTTTTGAAAGATGTTGATGATGTGTGCGATACTGAGTCTCATGAACACTACGAATGATAACGAGTTATCATCTTTATCTTTTAGTTATAACACTTTATTACTTTTGTCATTTATAACTAAGTATTAGTGGTGAAACATCACTGACCAGAAAATTGCTATTATTTGTAATCGATAAAATCTTATGCTTTTACATCAACTTTCTTATGTCCCCAATGATTTATGGTCTTTTTTCTAAAGTATTTATTCGATGCTTCTTCCAATATTTAATTCCTACGCACTCATCTGTGTAAACATATTGAAAATTATCCATCCATTCCTCTCCCTTTTAACAATTTGAATATGGTTGGGCTGGTGTTGCGTCTATAATTATAATTTACTCACTTACGACTGCTATTTATTTTTACCACAATTCATTCTTATTAAAACGATGCTACTATTTATTCATCTCTGAAGCATTCAATAACCATTTGGGAAAAAATTTGCAATTTCTCTAGGATTTAAAATTTCATAAATTTTAAAATATTAGATTCCTACGAGTGAAACGAAATGCTGTGAGTGCTAGGAAAAATATTTCGGAGTAGAACGTCCTGATATCGCGTCCTATTCCAGAATATTTTTCTGCAGAGAAGAAGTCCCGCTCCATTTACGATGAATCTACATCCCTGTTCTCCGTCTAACCCCATCCCTGTCCTTACAGCTAACTGTCCCGTCGTCCTTGCGACTCAACCACCTGAAATACTTCAGTGGAATTTTTTTGCTTCAGACCGCGACTTAAGAAGTGGCCGTCGTTAAATATTGCATCATTGTGTTCAGGATCGGTTTGGAAATAATGTTGTTGTAGAAGTAACGTTGACTTATGTAGGGTTAGGAGTTTCGGGGAGAAATTAGGTCGGGGTGGAGATGTCGCGATGTTTGCTCGGGTTATTGCTATTGTCTTGCTAAAATGCAATGTTCTACTAGTGAAAACCTAACATTTTAGATCATTTTTATTACTTTTTCCTAAAACCTTATAGCACTACACGATACACGATATCCATTACCTTTTGCACAGGTAAAGAGCAGCGAATATTCTGTTCTGGATGCCAAGAAAAGAACTGTTCAGTGTTTCGGAGTGCATATAGTTAGAAATAAGTCGATTTGACATATCCAAAAGTGTACAATTACACAAAAACACACAACTGATGGTGTATATAGATGAGATAGTTGTTTTCAGCCTGCATCTTCTTATATCTCTTCCATTTGTATACATCTGCTATGCATTATAGTTGTCTTACACTATAAAAAGAGAGATGCTTAACATTCGCTTCATTACTCCCATGATAGTATTGGATAGCAGATATTGACTTTAAATCAAAAAAAGCATACACTGTTGTTATGAGCATATAGACTGAATGTCAGTCCTACTACTACATCTGTTCTTTGTTCATTATTTATTCTCATTGTCTATTTACTGTTTTCTCCTTCTTTACGATGACGTATTCGTTCATCGAAAAAATGTCAAAAATAGCACTTTGTTTGCACTTTTCAGAGATGAATGTAACAGGCTTCTCGCATCAAGTTGGTGGCCATTTTGGAATATTTACATGTGGCGGACATATTTGTAAACCGTTGAATTCAAAAGAATTGGCATTTTATAAAGAAATTGGCGATCGTTTTGCACCATTCACGGCGCAGTGTTGTGGTTTGAGCTAATTTTATTTGTTTATTTTAATGTGTTATAATAATAGATAAAGTTGACTGTTACGCGCACCAACTACGAAGTAATTCCCACCGATCGGTCTTGACTTTCTCGAGACCATGGATGACATTCCGCCTTCCTCTGAATTTGTAATCAATATTTTCGGCGTTTCCAGATGGTGGAAGTGGCTGCACGTCACGTTTAATATCTACCTTCGATTTCACATTGTTGAATCTTCTGTCGATCCAGCAGACCAAGTTTTTTCTTCTGCAGGAAAACTGGAAATATGAAGGGGCATGACTTTTTACTTGTCCGGATGTGTTTGTTTGCTATACTGGATCAGTCCCCGACGATCTCCACCAATTTTGTGCGCACTTAAATAATTTGCCTTACATTGTTGATTCAAAGAAAACCTTGAATTCTTAGTTTCAAATTTAAAGATTTGTTGTTTTGGCAATTCAGGTACAATAAGTATTCAGCCTCGGAATTCTCGTGACGATGGTTTGGTATTAACTACAGATAGACCCGTTCTATGCCATCCGAATCCGTCATCCAGTGAAAAGCAGCTTATTTTTCGGCTGAATAAAAATGGTAGAGTTGAGTCGGATCAGCATTTCAATGAATGGGCGAAACAGTGTCAGACTAGATCAGTACAAAAATTATTGAAGGTAAGCTTTAAGGAGTGTTTTTTCATTAAAAAAAAA